TTTAGAGAGGATAGTGTTCTCAAGTAGTGTTTTTATGAGAGAGAGTCCAACCTGCATAAATGCTAACGACTGCCCCTATTTATACTCACCGAACTCGAGGCTGATCTCCTCCACGTCACTATCCTCATTTAATGCTCTGTGTCCCCTCTGCAACACACCCAACCGCCTTGTCAGGCTCCTGACACACGACAGGCACCCATCTGCCTTGCCAGGCTCCTGACACATGACAGGCGCCCGCAGGCGGTGGTCCCCCAGACAGCTGGCCTCCATTTGGCTTTTAGTGTTTTATTCTTTGGGCCCTTCCCCTTATTTGGGCCCAAGGGCTTCTGGTGGATCCTTTTTCTTTGGCCTTGCCCCCCAATTCCTTAATTCTGGGAGCCCAAGCTATACCCCCAACAAAAACAAAGAATGATATTTAGGGATAAATTATCATGAACACTTCTTTTTCTTAAGTTACTGTTACTCAAAGCAGATGACAAGCTTATGTCAGGACTCAGGAGGATACGTTAATTACTTGAACACCATTAATTAAATTTCAGTAATGACGTCTAATGATAAGATCCATCAAAGTTGTAATGCTATGATAAGTATAATAAGCAAACCATTAATTAATTTTCGAGGTGGTTATGATAGGATTAGGAACATGTCCACACATGTTTTGAAATATATAATTTGGGAATATTCCAATCCACCAGTCGAATATTAAAAGGAACAACTTACAATTCAAACAACACTTCTCCTCTCCACAACTATCAGAGATTAAAATATGAAAAAAATAATTATTATCTGTAGGATCAGAATATTCTTCAGTTTGTTTCAAGCTTGTGCCATTATGGAGCTTAGAAGTGATGATGATGACGATAATATTAATTTCCCTAATATTTCTTCTGTTATGTTTTGGACTTATTCCGCTTCTTTTTTCTGTTGGTTCTCACCTTCCTCGTATTTCTACTTTCTGTTGTACTCACAAACTCGCAATTTCAGGTAACGACTTGGCTATTTTTTCTGTATCTATCGTACTATAAATGTTCAAGAATAATGATTTATAGAACAACACATTACAACATTTTCACGGTATGTGAATAACAATAAACTCAATAAAGAGTTAGTTTCTTCGTGTTCTTTGTAAATCTCTTTCTTTCTTTGAGTTCCATGTTGTAAATTTCTTTTGTTTCCTTCACAACCTCCGTCATGTTCGTGCCGTTGTCATCAAACGCACAACTTATTGCGAAACTCACGCCACAAGTTTTCTTTGTTGGATGGTCTGACTTCATGCTCTTCTATGTTGCCATTGTATCGTTGGTCACACTAATTGCTCCTCTTCTTCCTCACATGCAATGATATGACTCTGATTTCAATATTGTTCATGCTTTCTGGTATGAGTGAGATCAACTAGTTCTCGCTTGGATTGCTCTTTCTATTTTTGATGTTGTGATGCCAAAATATTATCAATGAAACCACTAGTTTTGTTGTCTGGAATTCACGGGCTCTTCTTTGTGAAAAAAGAATTTCTATGATTCAAAAGTAGTGGTTTTGTTGATGATATTGGGCATCACAGCTTCAGAAAGAGAATGAGCAATCCATGAGATAACCAATTGATCTCGTCCATACCAGAGAGCATGAGCCATATTTGAATACTATTGGAGTCAAGCATTGCATATGAGGCATGATCAAAATTGTTAACATGATCGAGCAGACGATGGTAGTAGAGAAGAAGCTGGAGCCACATTACATAGAGGACATATAGTGGGGGATGACATCAAAGTAAGTTGGGGGTTCGACGACAAGGACATGAGTGTACCAAAATGTGCGGAAGACCCAAAAGAGGCAACCGAGAAACACAACAAAAAAATAGATGATACGAATGAAGATTAGAAAGACGAAAGAAAAATGTAAAATTTTGAGTTTATATGCTCCTTTACTACCATTATAGATAATTTGGTTGCACTTCCTCCTCCTCCCCGAACTTGGTCATTCCCGGAAAAAATCCCAAGTTACACATGTTTTTAAAAAAAATTCTCAAAATACACACGTTATGAAAATAATTCCCAATCTACGTTAGTTTGGGCCATCACCGCTGTCGACGAAGACAGTGATGGCATCACTGTTGTCGACGAAGACAGTGATTGCATCACCGCTGTCGACGAAGACAGTGATTGCATCACCGCTGTCGACGAAGACAGTGATTGCATCACTGCAGTACACGGCCGCGGTGAAGGCCTGACCTGCGTCGAAACTTTAAACAAACGTAACTTTGTGCTCGGTTATCCGATCGTAGCGAAATTTTTTTTGATTCCGCATAATTTTTCGAGATCTAGCAAGCCGAAAATTGCCGAAGGCGGTTTGGTCCCGCCTTCGTCTCGAAAATATGTCGTTTGCTACCCCGAACGAGCCTTTTTTCGATTTCGTCAAACTTTGAACGACCATAACTTTGTGCTCCACAATCCGAAAATCATGAATTTTTTTTATTTCGCATAACTTTTTAAGGACTACAATTTTTATCATAGACATATTTTCGGAATGTACTTGGATTCCTGAAAAGGAAGGTAAAGTTATTCCCAAAACCCCTTATATCCATAAATAATTCATTTTTTGAAAATTCTCTCCTACTAAATATTGTAGTCCTTAAAAAGTTATGCGAAATCAAAAAAAAATTCATGATTTTTGGATTGTGGAGCACAAAGTTATGGTCATTCAAAGTTTGACGAAATCGAAAAAAAGCTCGTTCGGGGTAGCAAACGACATATTTTCGAGACGAAGGCGGGACCAAACCGCCTACGGCAATTTGCGGCTTGCAAGATCTCGAAAAATTATGCGGAATCAAAAAAAATTTCGTTACGATCGGATAACCGAGCACAAAGTTACGTTTGTTTAAAGTTTCGACGCAGGTCAGACCTTCACCGCGGTCGTGTACTGCAGTGATGCAATCACTGTCTTCGTCGACAGCGGTGATGCAATCACTGTCTTCGTCGACAGCGGTGATGCAATCACTGTCTTCGTCGACAACAGTGATGCCATCACTGTCTTCGTCGACAGCGGTGATGGCCCAAACTAACGTAGATTGGGAATTATTTTCATAACGTGTGTATTTTGATAATTTTTTTTAAAAATATGTGTAACTTGGGATTTTTTCCGTCATTCCCTCTCCTCTTCTTATACTTAGTGGTGCCACTGCAACTGCCACTGCCATAGTCAATACTCAACATTTATTAGAAAAGGAATGAGCCAAATGCCAACTTCGAGTTCAATACCATTCCATTGTTTGTTACCTTGTTGATGTCAATCAATAGTTTACATATGCTAGTCTATGCTACAAAGGTCAATTAATACCCAATAAGCTAGGTAAACTCAATGATTTATTCTTAAGTAACATCCAAATTACCCTCCAAAGGAAATCAAATTCAACCCCCATACCCAAATATGTGTTGGGCAAGAGAAAAGGAGAGCTCAATCGTTATCGAATATGAGAAAGTGGGAAAGCAAAGAAGGGACAAAATTATGCAAGAAAATAATATATAATAAAGATGGGGTAGGAAGCTGAAAATGGTCCCTTAAATCGACCAAAGGTGACATTCCACTCAACCCAACAACGACCAAAGCCCCCAAATCATGGTTCATCATTTCTCATGCTAAGACAAGGGAAAGCGATATATGGTCTTCTTTTTCCTTATGAATATAAATATATAATCTAAGCAAAAATGACATTTTTCTGGTTGCTCTTAGAGGTGGCAAATGGATTGGATTGGTGGATTGGTGGATCCATGGATCAAATGGATTGGATCTAATGGATTGGTGGATTCATGGATTGGATCAAGTGGATTGGTGGATTATCCATGAATCCAAATGACATCCTCAACCAAGGACCAATATGTAAAATGTAAAAAGTTTAGGTACTAAAATGTTACAATGAAAATTTTTAGGTACCAAAACGTAATTTTCCAATGATATTTTTTGTATAAAAATTAAATTTTAGGTACCAAAATGTAAAAAATAAAAATTATAGGTACTAAACCGTAATTTACCAATGATCTATGGATCCAATCCATGAATCCACCAATCCAATTGGATTTGGATAAAATGGATTGGATTTAAATGGATTGGATTAGGTGGATATTTTTAATGGATTGATGGATTGGATTGGTGGATTGGATTGAAATTGCCACCTCTAGTTGCTCTCCAACTCCATCCATCAATCCTAATTTAAAATGATTACTACACATTCCTATCATGTTCACTACATTAAATGTAAAACGAATATAATAACATTTTTTATTATGAGTTTGGATTTGGTAAGATCAAAGTTCTTCTAAAGATAATCTTTTTGTTGTGTGGTAGAACAAATGCTTAATATGCACTCTAATATAAATTTCAACTTGATCAAAGTACAATCAAAGATGTGCTATAAAGCGTCAAATAATTGACACTAAAGATGTCGTTTAATCATAAAATATATTAATTTGACTCATCAAAGATAATTAGTTGTTAACTCTAAGGAGTTGCCTTACGTGAACATGATAATACTCACTCGCCAGCATTCAAAAACTTCGAATCCTGTGATTTTTAAAAAAAAGAAAAGAAAGTGTCGAGCTCGATTCCAGGTGCGCCATCTAGTTGCTCTAGAGTTGGACATGAGTGATTGCGACAGTCACCAATCGCTTTCATGAACTACTTTGTAAGAATTTGAAAGTTGTTGTTTCTCATATAGATTTTAGTTGGTAGAGGACATTTGCTACCTCTTCGTTTTCATTATATCTAGTATTCTTGTTTACTGATGCCTTATTTTTGTCGAGACTCTTTTTAACTTTGAAGGACTATCAAACTATGATCGCTTTTGAATGAAATTTAGAATGCACTGCATTCATTTATTAATAAAAAACGATTACTGATCTACCCGAACGAACCCGAAAAACGCCGACCAGACCCAAAGACCCAAGAGGGGCCCGCAGTTTTCAAAGTAGGTACCGAGTAAGAAAGAGTGAAAGACCCGACAGCCGACACCATCCTCCCTTTTAGCTTCCATTTTACAGCAAAAAAATACACACACACTCTCGCCCTCTCCCGCCCGCAGATCATCAACAAACGAAGTCACAGAAGGAAATTAGAAAGGCAGAGAGAGGGAGAGAGAGGGTACAAAGGAAGAGCGAGAGAGCATGCAATTGCAAACCCTCCTTCTCCCCCTCCTCAACAATGTCTTTTCCACTTTCGACCCTCTCTCTTCTTCTCCCAATTCAATTCTCATCATCCCCTCTCTCCCACCTTCTCCTCCCCCAGACTTGTTGTTGACTTCCCATCATGATCACGGCGGAATCACCAGAATCATCGGTACCAGGAGGCGGCGGAGTTGGGAATACAGAGGGGGAAGCTCCCGACGTGGAGAAAGTTCTCGACTTTCTGCGCAGGAGTGGGTTGAAAGAGGTTGAATTGGCTCTCAAGGAGGATATCATCGAGAAAAACGAATTTGGTTCTGTCGATTTCGAGAAATTCTTGTTCGAGCTTCCTCCGGTGAGGATTTCGCCGGCCACTTTCCTGCAGGTGGAGGCCGGGGGAGAAGATTCCGCCGGCGGGGAGTCTTTTCGTGGTAGAGCGAATTCTGGGGTAGTTAGCTCCGATGATGAGTTCGTCAGCTTGGGTTCTTCCACCAGTGGTCTATGCTCTTCAGGTATACTTAATTTGGACTGAGCTCAAAACTCAGTCGTGAATGAACTTTTTTAGTTTAGGAATTACTTCCCCGATTTCCCCCCCAAATTGTTAACTCGAAACCTAAGATATGAATCCCAGCATTTTGGTACCAATTGGGAATCTTTACTACTCTACTTGTCTGGTTTCAACCTTTGTGTAGTTTAAGGATTAATGGTGGACGTTTTAGACTGTCTAATTACTGCCGATCTATGGAGATTTGGCTAAAAAAAGCTGAACGCCATTTTTTTTTTTTTTTGTGTTATGTGATGTGCAGAATTCACTAATCCGTATGGACTCCGGTCAGGTTCACAGCACGATTCGGACACTTCCTCGGACAGAATGTCACAGTTTGGCACTGCTCGTGACTATCCTGATCTCGATATGCAGAATGATCTCTTCTGGTACGATGGTAGAGGTGATGGTAGAGTCGAAGGCTCGTTCAATGATCCTCGCCTGGACAACTTTGTAGGCGTGAGCGAGGATAAGTTTGTGATGACGTCTGGAGCAGCAGAACGGCAGCTAGAAGAGGATGCAGTTGGATTGTACGATAAATCTGAAGGGTTTGAGACGGAGGCAAGCGTTGACTTCTTGGACAAGCCATGTCTTTTCGATGCCACATCTGTTGTGAACAATGATGCTAACATGGCTAGATCGACGGGTGGAGAAAATGGTTGCTTGGCTCTACTTTGCAAGTGTTGTGGAGGTGCAGGTGGTGGAACTGTTTATGAAAAAGAACCTGTTGATTATGAGTTCTTGGGATCCAAGGAAACTGATGGTTTGAATTGTTTAGAGCAGAAGGTAGGGGATTTTGTCAATGAAATTAGGGAAGGAGATTGTGGAAGTCAAGGGATTGAATGTTGTGAAGATGATTCCGATCAACTGGCAACGTTCAGAATGGATTATGATGAGCTAGGACGTGATGAAGTAAGTGAAGCACAAAATAAGGTATTAGCTCCAAAGGAGAGGGAGGATCATGAAATTGATGATGAAGTTGTCTTTTGTGAGAATGAGGTGGATGAGTATGAAGTATTTGAACTACGAATCATACACCGGAAGAACAGGTATGTCAAAGCAACTACATGTTCCCATTATCTTCCATGAAAGAATCTCAAAACTATTTGCAGGGTCCTGAATTATATGTTTCTTTTTACGTTCGGTGGTGATCAGGACAGGATTTGAGGAAAACAAAGATCTGCCTATTGTAATAAACACAGTAATCGGAGGCAGATATTATATAACAGAGTACCTTGGATCAGCCGCTTTCAGTAAAGTTGTTCAAGCGCAAGATCTTCACACAGGGGTGGATGTCTGTCTTAAGATCATAAAGAATGACAAGGACTTCTTTGATCAAAGTTTAGATGAGATCAAACTTCTTAAGCTTGTGAACAAGAACGATCCAAATGACGAGAGGCACATATTACGCCTCTATGACTACTTCTATCATCAGGTATTGAATACATAATGCAGTTGTATATTTCTAACTGTTTAGAATCCGAAACACGCTCTCAGTGTGTAAATCTAACTGCAGGAGCATCTCTTCATTGTCTGCGAACTCCTACGAGCTAATTTGTACGAGTTTCAGAAGTTCAATCAAGAGTCAGGTGGTGAGCCTTACTTTACATTAGCCAGGTTGCAGACAATAACCCTGCAGTGTCTGGAGGCGCTCGAGTACTTACACCAGTTGGGGATCATTCACTGTGATCTGAAGCCAGAGAACATTCTGATAAAGAGCTACCGAAGGTGTGAGATCAAGGTCATTGATCTAGGAAGCAGCTGCTTTAAGACAGACACCTTGTGCTTATACGTGCAATCTCGTTCGTATCGTGCCCCTGAAGTCATGCTAGGCCTTCCCTACAATGAAAAGATCGATATATGGTCTCTTGGCTGCATCTTGGCTGAGCTGTGCTCTGGCGAGGTACGTCGAGTTCAGACAGATCAACATGTGCAGATTTTGGTCCTGTTTATTGGAACTTGCTGTTTCTAATTTCTTTCTCGCGGTAGTTTACTTGGATCGGTTGTTGATTTACTACCAGGTACTGTTTCCGAACGACTCAGTGGTAATGATCCTAGCTCGAATGGTCGGGGTTCTCGGTGGTATCGACATTGACATGCTGGAGAATGGCCAGGAGACTGACAAATACTTCACAAAGGAGCGTGACCTTTACTACATTAACGAGGTTCTTACCCCCAGCTCTTATGCTCCTTTCCTCTACAGCACCCTTTCCGCGTCAAAGCTTCTGATCACTGGGCTTGTTTATTGAAATTAAAAATCTTCTCACTCTAGTAACTCATCCAGAGTTCGACATTGGTGGAGTCGACCGATATTAATAGTTGAATCAAGTTAGTGACATGATAGGCCAATTGTGTGTCGAATGATTGATCATTGTAGGAGACGGACGAAATGGAGTACATAATCCCAGAGGAGACCACATTGGAGCACCAACTGGGGACGTCCGACGAGGCATTCCTGGACTTCCTGACGAGCTTGCTGGAGATCAATCCTCTGCGACGGCCCACTGCAAGCGAAGCGCTCCAACACCCTTGGCTCTCTCATTCATACCACCACCACTCCCACTCTCGTCCGTGATCTTACTGAGGGAAAAAAAAAAAGAATTTGGTTGTGAATTTGTTTCATTGTTGACCCACGACACCTGTATGCTAGCTGTACAGAAAATGCCGCCTCCTTTAATTGTTGTTCTTCTGCTTTCGACCTCCATTGTTTTTAGAACCCAGAAAGATGGCAATAACATGGTTTTGAAATCGAAACCTAATCTTTGAAACATCGTCTTTGACAGTTGACAGTAATTAAACTATAGGCTCGGGGTTCGTGGGTTTCTCATGCGCCATGTTACTTGTCTGTTTACGTTTGGAAAGCATAGAAAGAGAGAGAGAGTCAGTTGGGGTTTCCCAGCTCAGCACTTGAAGTGGGTAATTAACACTTTGTGACGATTCTTTGTTGTAATGAAGGATTGGATGATTATTTGATGATATCCAAGAAGCCAGCCATGTTGGATTGAAATCCAAATCGATTTTACGGTATAGACGCTTATAACCTCCCCCTCTATATTTTACAGTCTATCATAACGATGTTGTTCATAGATCAAATTATTTTGCGTATGTCATATATTGGGTTGGCGCTGTCTGATTGCGATCACTAATCACTGGTGGTCTGGAGGTCAGGGAAAGGGTTGCCGGAGTTTAAGATGCGTCTGACTACATCTGATCCGAGCTCCCAATCCGTCTGGTTTTATTTTTATAAGGACACAGCGACGGCAGGCTATAAAAATAATCTTGTGGATGACGGAGTCGTTGAGGATCCAAGCCAACCAAACGCCGTCACTTCTCATTGGCTGCTTGCTTCCGCCTTCTGTTAAACAAAAATAACAAGCCAAACATTTCTCTAGCTCTCTTGTTACTTTGTCTTCTACTGGGCGGGGGGGATTGCTTACGCTCCCCGTCCGCGATTAAGTTGTACGCCTCGCAATGAAGGGTACGGCACGATATCTCAATTAAGGGGTTGTTTGACTGATGCTTTTATTAAATGAGACATTGAGTCCAAAAATTTCTACCAAAAATAAAATAAAACCAGACTTTTGATGTGACTTGTGAGACATATTGGTTAATGAGACATTTTCGGTGGAAAAAAAAATCTCTTTTTCATTCTGTTTGATTGGCGATTTTTTTTTTTATGCGAAATCAAAAAATTGCATTAAGCTCAGGCCACTAACAGAGGAAATCTGCAGCGCCTCTCAAACTGTTTACAACTCAAAGCAAAAGCTACTATCAACTACTATCCACTATAAATTCTATCTATTTCTAACTGCAGAGCAGAATCCTCACAAACTCGGTAAGCTACTTCCTCACGTATCAGCTTCACCAACATAGCAGGATCTTTGATCCCCCTCTCCCCATACATTCTAGCACACCTTTCACGCCATATATGACTCACAGCAGCACTCCACAGGGCACGACAGACACGATTTTTAGCAGTCTTCTTCCTCCATGTCCTTGCACACCAAGCAACCACATCATCCCAACTCCCTACAATTGGTGGAGCCAGTTCCTGCATACAGAGTCTCAAAACAGCACAAGTATAAGCACAATGCACCAATAAATGATCTTTACTCTCAGCTCCTCCTGGACACAGCAAACAGCATCCAGAAACAGCCTTCCCCCAAGCCAGAAGTCTATCTTGAGTCACTAGCCTCCCATGTATAGCAAGCCATAAGATTAACCCATGCTTAGGAATGATTTCTTTTTCCCAGACAAGTCTCCACCATTGCACTTCTGGCTTCTTCTCTCTGATATCATTCCAGACCCGAGATACTGAGTATCTTTTCATTTTCTCACCATTCCAAAGAGTAGAGCTACCAGAACCAGTAATGAAAAGAACAGCTTGCACCCTACATTTCAGAATTCTCTTCCAGACCCATGTACCTGCAGAACCCTGTGATATATCCCAAACACTTTTGCCCTTCAGTCTATACCTGGCTATCCATGCAACCCAGATTGACCCTCCCAGAGTGAGTATTTCCCACAAGTGCCTCATTACACAAGCCCTATTCCAAGCACCAAAATTTTTGATCCCAAGGCCACCCTCTAACTTTGGAACAGCCAGCTTATCCCAGGCCATTACAGCCTTCTTACGACTACCATCCTCTGCAGAGTCCCAGAGAAAAGCATTACACAGCCTGCCCACTTCCTTGATAACAAACTGAGGCAATAGAAAGATATTGAGCCAGTATTGGAGAGTACTGGATATAACTGAAGTGATAAGCTGTATTTTCCCTGCATAACTGAGCAATTTAGACCTCCAACTTCTTAACCTTTGTGTTATTTTATCAACCAGGACCTTGCAATCTTGCCTTGTAAGTTTACCTGTTATTAATGGGACACCTAAATACCTCACAGGGAGTGTCCCCAGAGGGAATTCAGTGAACCCAGAAATAGCAAGCATTTCACTTTTGGAGATACCAGCACAAAAGAGCTGACATTTGGCTGGATTACATCTCAGACCAGACAGTTTATAGAAACTATCCATCAATCTCCTGACCCCTGCAACCCCTCTTATGGACCCATTAGTAAACATCATCAAGTCATCCGCAAAGCATAAGTGGGAAATCAGAAGTGGTTTACACCTAGGGTGATAAGGAATCTGATTTTCAATCATAGCCTTCTTAGCCAAACAGTCTAACGCTTCCATTGCTACTGTAAACAGGTAGGGGGATAAGGGATCCCCCTGCCTTAAACCCTTTCCAGCCTTTATATTACCACACAAACCTCCATTAATTGCAACTCTAATAGTGGGTGTAGTTACACAAGCAAAGATCAGTTTAATAAAACTCTCTGGGAACCCCATTGCTTTGAGTATACTAAACAGAAACCTCCAGTTAACAGAATCAAAAGCCTTCATGATGTCAATCTTCACAACACACCTAGGTGTAATGTTTTTCCTATGATAATTCCTAACCAATTCTGATACCAGTAGGATATTATCACTAATAGACCTCCCTTTGATAAAAGCAGATTGGGATCTACTGATCACACTAGGAAGAACTAGGGCAAGTCTATTAGCTAAAATTTTTGAAATCCCCTTATACAAGGTGTTACAACAAGCAATAGGTCGATAATCCTTCATCTTTTCAGAACTGGGAATTTTAGCAACCAAAGTAAAAATGGTGCTGTTCACAATAGATGGCATAAAACCAGTAGAAAAGAAAGAAAGAACTACCTCTTCAACTTCAGTGCCAATAAGAGACCAATGAGTCCTATAAAACTCTGCAGGAAACCCATCTGGACCTGGGGCTTTATCCCTGGCTAAGGAAAGGAAGGTCTGCTTTATCTCTGCTCTTGTAATACTTCTCAACAATCCCCTCTGTTCATCCTCTGACAACCTATGCTGGATTAGATTGTGATAGTAAGAATCCTCTTTAAGTTCCACATTCTGATCCTCAGAGCCAATGAGTTGCTCATAGAATTCTACTGCAACCTTGCCAATACTGTGCACATCAGTTAATACTTCCCCTTGTTCATTCTGCATACGTGTAATCTGCTGCCTCTGGGCCTTGATTTTTACTGTCTTATGAAAATATGCAGTATTCGAGTCCCCCTCCTTGATAGCCTGAGTTCTTGCTTTCTGTTTGTAAAACTGCTCTTCTGCTCTTCTTAAATCAAAATACTCCTTACACAACTTCTTTTCCCTCTCCACTGACTCAGCAGTAAGATTTTGAAGTACATCATTCTGCGCAGCCTCAAGTTCCCCTGCTGCATTCTTAACTCGGTTTGAAATATCTGAATACACAGCTTTGTTCAGTTTCTTCAGGGCTTGCTTAACACTATGAAGCTTACCATAGAACACATACGAAGGATATCCCACCACACTCCTTTGCCAAGCCTGCTCAACTAACTGCATATACTCAGGATGACCTTGCCAAAATGTAAAATACTTAAATGGCTTTGGAAGAGTCCTCAGCCCTGGATTCGTGTCCAGAATCAGACCACAGTGATCTGAAATACCAGGAGGATTCGTGTAGGATGAACTTTCCCTAACTTTCTCCAACCAAACTTCATTTATAAGCACCCTATCAATCCTCCTAGCAATAGGATTAGCCTGCTGCTTATTCCACCATGTAAACCAATGCCCTGATACTCTGTGATCAACAAGCTTCATATCTTTGATCCACTCCCTGAAATCCTGCATACTTTGAGTAACCTCCTGTACATTCGAAGTCTCATTAATCTCAGCTATTGCATTAAAGTCTCCCATGATTACCATAGGAACAGCTGCAGTGCTTAAGAGCAGTAAAGCCTGATAGAGAATCTTCCTTTCCACTTCTTTATTAGGACTGTAGACAAAGATAGCTATGAATGGTTCTGCATCCTCTACTAGAATCTGGATAAAATGCTCCCCTTCACTTAACCGAGTAACTTTCAGATCTGCTCTCCAGAATAACCAAACTCTACCTGACTTTGAGCTATCATAATTATCAGTATGCTTCCAAACAGAAAAAACCCTATCTATTATTTTCTTGCTATTCTCCTTAGTTACTCTGGTTTCCAATATACCTACTATATCAATACGTTTCAGTCTCAACTGCTCAAGAACAGCTGAGTGTTTGTCAGAGGAATTAAATCCTCTGACATTCCAGCTTAGTAATCTCATTTCCCTCGCTTCCTCCCCCTACCTCTCACCTTAGGAGGAGATGGAGGACAATTCAAAACTGGACGAGTAGTTGATGTAGCACGATTCGAACCCCCTGAACTTCTATCAGCATAACCAAGCCCCCCTTTGCTAGTAGAACCTGGACCAACCCATATCCGCTGCTTCTGCTTCCTGCTAACCACTAAAGTAAAGCCATCCTTATCCACCAAACCACTCATGGAAGGTGGTGTTTGAGTATCCATAATTTCTTTCCCAACCCTATGCTCTGATGCCTCTGCTACCTCCTCCTGCGCAGAACCCATATGAACTTCATCCCCAACCACAGCAGCCACAGGTGACCCTCCCCCTGCTGGCCTATCAGCCTGCCCCGAGGGGTCCTCACTTATAATCGGATTCTGCTTCACCCAGATTCGTTGCGGCTCATCTTCCAGCTTGGCACAGCTATGCCCAAAACACCCACACTTCTCACAAACCTTTGGCATATGACAGTAAACCACATCAATGAAAATCTCTGGTAAACCATCAGGCGTAACACTTAATTTTGTAATCTTCTTAGCAGTAGCCTTAATCTCAACACAAATTTGTGCAAACCCAACCTTACGTCCCTGAGTTGTAGACTTATCCATACACAGCGGCTTCCCCAAAGAGCTAGCCACTCTGCCCAACCCTTCCTTCGATGTTAGCTCTGTTGGCAGATTTGAAAGCTTGACCCACAGCGGCAATGCTGTGTTGTCAATGTGCAGAGGACTAATCCCAGGCTCCCACTTGCGAAGAAACAGCAAATTTTCTCTGTGATGCCAAGGCCCTGTTTCAAAAACCCATTGACAAATCTCAGCCGATGGAAATTGGAACAACACCAGCTTACGACCCATCCAGGAAGC